GAGAGCTCTCATGTACCCTTCACCCAGTTTCTCCTATTGACATCTTACTTAACTACTGTACAATATCACCCAGGAAAGTGACATTGGTATAAAGTATGTATAGTTCTATGTAGTTTTATTACATGTGATGATTCACATAACCACCACTGCAAGCTATAGAATTATTCCACCACCTTGTGCTACCCCTTTCTAATTAATCACACTCAATCCCTCCACCCATCACTGACTCCTGGTAACCACTGGTCTGTTCTTTAATCTTTAAAATTTTATTATTTCAGGTATATTATATAACTGGAATCAGACAATGTATAATCTTTTAAGATGGACTTTTTCCCCATTCATCATAATACCTTGAGATCCATTCAAGTTGTTGTATGTATCAATAGTTCATTACTTTTTATTGGGCTGGTATTCCATGGTATGAACCTACTATGGTTTGTTTCACCATTTGCCTATTACAGGATATTTCAGCTCCTTTTAGTTTTGGGCTATTTTCTATGAACTTCTAAATATATTAATTACTGTTATTATTTTTAATTATTGTCCTTATCTTTTAAGCCAACATCTGAGACTTTTGCAGTTCTGTTTCTAGTGACTTTTCTCTTTTCTCTTTTTAAGTCTTTTCTCTTAAGTATGGGCATGTTTTCCTGCTTTTTTCTCATGTCTAGTGATTTTTTATTATATAGTAGCTGTTGATGATGGTCTGTAGAGACTTTGGATTCTGTTATTTTCCCTAACAAATGTTGGGTTTTGTTTTAATAGGCAGAAGGGGCACCTGGGAGGCTTAGTTGGTTGAGTGTCCGACTCTTGATTTTGACTTAGGTCGTGATCTCAGAGTGATTTGATCAAGTCCTGTTTTGGGCTCTGTGCTGACGGTGGAGCCTACTTAAGAGTCTCTCTCTCTCTCTCTCTCTCTCTCTTCCTCTGTCCCTTTCCCCTGCTCTCTCTCTCTTTCCAAAATAATAATAATAATAATAATAATAATAATAATAATAATAATAAAAGGCAGTTAAATTACTAATAGGTCACCTAGAATGGGTAGTGAGTGGGTTTTATGTGTAGTTACGATGAATCTATTTTAATTTTTCCCTTAACTCAAGGAGAATCCCTTATTTTTGTTCTTTTTTTTTTCAGTCTTTCAGCCGTTTCCCCCTTCCAGATTTCCTAGCATTTTATACTTTTGTAGTTCAGAGGTCAACCAAGGATTTGTGGGAAGTTTATATTCAGGTTTTTTTTTTTAAAGCTTTCTTTTTTAAAAAAGAAATGTAGGGGCGCCTGGGTGGCGCAGTCGGTTAAGCGTCCGACTTCAGCCAGGTCACGATCTTGTGGTCCGTGAGTTCGAGCCCCACGTCGGGCTCTGGGCTGATGGCTCAGAGCCTGGAGCCTGTTTCCGATTCTGTGTCTCCCTCTCTCTCTGCCCCTCCCCCGTTCATGCTCTGTCTCTCTCTGTCCCAAAAATAAAATAAACGTTGAAAAAAAAAAAAAAAAAGAAATGTATATTTTTGAGAGAGAGGAGAGAGACACACAGACAGAGACAGAGTATGAGCAGGATAGGGACAGAGAGGGAGGGTGACACAAAATCTGAAGCAGGCTCCAGGCTCTGAGCTGTCAGTATAGAGCCCGATGAATGGCTCAAACTCACAGATCGGGAGATCATGACCTGAGCTGAAGTCAGATGCTTAACTGACTGAGCCACCCAGGCGCCCCAAATTCAGATTTTGCATTTCTCTTGTGACTCACTTCTTTCTAGGATTTCTTGAAACTCTGGAAGTATCAAACTCCATGTTCTGACTCATCAGACTGATAAAACTGCAGGTTTTTTGGCTGAAGTTCTGCAGACTGGGGAGTGGCCTCTGGACAAAGCTATATAAATAGTGATTTAAGAGAATGTCATTCCCTTCATTTGAGGGTTGATTCTCCTTTGTTTTTGTTTGTTTTCAGTTAGTCTCATGTTTTCAAGCAGATTTAAAAATTTTTTTGCTCAGGAGGCACCTGAGTGGCTCAGTCGGTTGAGTGTCTGACTCTTGATTTTGGCTCAGGTCATGATCTCACAGAGATCAAGCCCCACCTTGGGCTCCATGCTGAGTGTGGAGGCTGCTTAAGATTCTTTCTCTCTCCCTCTGCCCCTTTCCCCTGCTCAAGCTGTCTCTCTCTCAAAAATATTTTTTTTTTTTTTTGCTCGGGGTTTATAATTTTTAATCCATAAGAGAGTTAGTCCAATATAAACTACTCTTTCATGTCTTAACATGATTTTTTAATTAATTTGGGCATGATTTTGTCTGTGTTTTTCTGAAAAGCATTTGTGAAGTTTCTAATCTAACTTTCCATGGATAAAAGCACATTTTTATCTTCTTTAAAAATCCCTGGATGAGCACTGGGTGTTGTGTGGAAACCAATTTGACAATAAATTTCATAAAAAAAAAAAACAAAAAAAAAAACCCTGATAATTGAGGGATTTTTCTATCCTATCTACTGGAATTCAAATTTAAAATGTCAATTCATCTGGCATAAAAAGTTCCTGATTTGAGATCCAGTGAAACCTTACTATGTTTGAGCCCAATGTTACTCAAACACAAAGATCAGTTAGATAGAAACATTTTACTTATTTATTAGTCACTAAGCCCTCTTGAGGGCAATATGTATTATACATCTAGATATGATGTGGCATACAAGGCTTTCATTTGGCCTTTATTTCTCCCTTAACATCTTAGAAAAATTCTCTGATATCCTGGGGTGGAATCAAGGTAAATGACCAAAGAGTGTGGTTAAAGTTTGTTTTATGATGTTTTTAAATTATCTGAATGCATTGATTTCAGTTTGCTGAAGGTGTGACCTTTCCATTTAATTACCTTTCTAGAGAACACTGCTTTTCTAGCCAATTCAGAGGTCCTATTTTCTCCTTTACCTTTCCAAATTCTACTTATCTTTGACATCCATCCAGTCCATGGCTTCAGATTTTCCTACCAGTGAACCTATGCCACTTTATTTATGTAGGGCTTTCCCTCATGATATATCCATTAATATACATTCCAAGCTATGCAGAGGCTTAGAAGGCAACTGAGATGAGAGTGGAAACAGAAAAGAGGTGGCCTTAAAATCTGCTAATGTACTTTTAAAGCTAGTAGGTCAGAATCAGCCTTTTCCTTTCAGAAACACTCCTCAAGGTAGGTGCTGTCCTGTTTCATTTTATAATCTAATCACCTCATCTGAATATAATCTTCTTTCCCACAAAGATCAGAAGATTATTCAGGGCAAGTATCATGCTTCCTCCTTCTTGCATAGAATCCAGCATAGTATTTCACATAAGAGTGAAAATTTCCTGGGGCACCTGGGTCGGTCAGTTGGTTAAGCTTCCAACTCTTGATTTCAGCTCAAGTCATGATCTCACAGTTCGTGAGATCGAGCCCTGCATCAGGCCAGAGATGACAGCATGGAGCCTGCTCGGGATTCTCTCCCTCTCTTTCTGCTTCTCCCTCACGCGTGCTCATCCTCTCTCTCTTTCTCTCTCTCTCTCTCTCAAAAAAAATTAAACTTAAAAGAAGGAACTTTAAAAAAAAGAATAAAATATTATTTGAATGAGTTACTTTGAATTTTGACCATTTGGCTGAATCTGTTTGGTATTTTGCTTATAATTTTCTAATTACCTGACAGGGTTTGGCTTTGATATCCCACCAAAGAGCATGAAGATATGTACACTGCAGATTTATAGTTTGGCTTCTGCCTGATTCTCCAGCCACCTCTAATACTACATATTCTCCCTCACTTGCTATGGTCTTGCCACATTGGTGTCCTCTAAGTACTTTCATACCTCAAGCAATTCCTTCCTCCGAGCCACTGCACTGTCGTGTCCTCTGCCTCGAATGGACATGGTGTGGTTAGTGCTTCTCATCACTTAGGTCTCAGATCAAATGGTCATGTCTCAGAGAGGTCTTCCTGATCTACCTTCCTTGTTCCCTTGAAGCTGATCCAAATCATTCTCTTACCCATCACTCTGTTTTACTTTCTTCAGAACTTACTACAACCTGAAATATCCTCTTAATCCGTGCTTACGTGTTTATGGTCTGTCTTCCCATATTAGAGTCTAAACTCTATGAGAGCCAGAGCTTTGTCTCCTTCAGGGAAGTGTCCCTAATGCTCAGAATGGTGGCTAAATGAGCGAATCTTTTGAGTTGTCACCCTGGGTGCCATCTTGAAAACAACTTATAGTGGATGCAGTATTTCAATGTTCACAATTTTAATTTGATTTCAGTGAAACATGGCATAGAAGTAGAGGCTAAAGAGATGTTCTTAAAGAATAAAGAAAGCACTAGTGAAAGCACAAGTCATAAGATCTACCAACGAAAAGCAAAAGAAAAATAGTGACAGTGTCTTACATCCAAGGGTAATAGCTAGCTAGCTATAATGATAATGAGTACCTATCATGCTCCAGGTATTGTTACAAATATTAGACTTAAAAAAAAACTAATTTAGTCCTTATAACAACTCTATAAGTATACTATAATAACCTCAATGATGACATTGAGAACAGAGACTAGATGAGAAGTTATGTAGGTTGATATGTCTGGGGTTATAAAGCCAGTAAGTAGAAGAGCTGGGACTCAAACCCAAGCAGTTTAATTCCAGTCCGTGGTTGTAACTCCTGGGCCATATCTTTTCATTTCCACTGAGTACAGAACTGATTTATTTTAGTTGTCTCATTCATTTTTCAAGCAAATCTGGCATTATTCTTCTGCCTATAGTTTTACAACTATTTGGTTTAGAATAAAGAATAATGGATTTAGGGTTGAGTTTTAGGTCCAGATATATTACTAATCTATGGTAACTTCAACCTAACTTGTTCAATCCCCAATTCTCAAATATGTAAAAGGGAGGCGTGTTTGAGCCATATTAAAGATAAACTAATATACTTTTTTTTTTTCCTGTTATGGGGGCCCTGAGCACCATGCTGCTGATACATTTTGGAAGAATATTGTAAGGAATATTTAATACATTACCTGAACTTTATTCATCTCCAGTTTGTTCTTCTCATTGGCACTCTGGTCTTGTTTGCTAGCTCCCTTTTTCTGAGGGCCTTTTCCAAAGAAGATGTAATTTACAAAGGCATATTCCAGGAGAGCCAGGAACACAAACACAAAGCAACCCATCAGGTAAATATCAATCGCTTTGACATAAGGGATCTTCGGTAAAGTCTCCCTGAGGTGAGTGCTGATGGTTGTCATTGTCAGCACGGTGGTGATTCCTATGAAACAGAAAGACACATCTTAGCTGAATGCACTTGTTAAGCTGCCCTTGAAAGACTAAGACAGATGCTATTTCCTTATTGGTGTCCCAGAATGATGGCAGCAATGTGATAAACCACTAGGCAAAAGGAGCAGATATTTGGAAGGACAAAGCTTCAGACTCCCCATACAGGCCATGAACAAATCGTAAAACAGGATGCACCATTAATGGAGGGTTGGAAGCCATTTAAAAAAAAAATAATACACATAGAAGAAAGAAGAATAAATGGGCCTGCATATCAAAATCCCATTGGGGCGCCTGGGTGGCGCAGTCGGTAAAGCGTCCGACTTCAGCCAGGTCACGATCTCACGGTCCGTGAGTCCGAGCCCCGCGTCAGGCTCTGTGCTGACGGCTCGGAGCCTGGAGCCTGTTTCAGATTCTGTGTCTCCCTCTCTCTCTGACCCTCCCCCGTTCATGCTCTGTCTCTCTCTGTCCCACAAATAAATAAACGTTTAAAAAAAAAAAAAAAAAATTAAAAAAAAAAAAAAAAAAAACCAAAATCCCATTGATGTGCTCACTGTCTCCTGTCAAATGTTCCTCATTCTGTTACACACCGGGTAACCCGGACTTCTTCCGGGTCTCAGCGTCTTGCTCATTTTCCTACTAAATCTGTCCTTGTGACACTAACGCCCACAACAGCCACTACCAAACTGAAAGTTGGTAACCATCGTGAGGAGACCTACTTCATTCCATAAGTCTATAATATATACAAGGTCAGTATTACACGTTAAAATAATAATGCATCATTCATAGTGAAACAACACTAAAAGAAGATATATGTAAGAAAGTTCACGATTTGCATCAAACATTTGATTTATGTATTTTTTAAATAAAACCTTGTTGCTTTGATTTTTCAAATATTACCTCTAGTTCTTGATTCCAGAGCCTAGAATGAATTAGTTCCCTGGAGTCAAGAAAAGATTTCCTGAAAAATTCAACTTGGATTTGTTAAAGAAGGTTAAGACTGTAAACTCTTAAAAGGAAAATTCTGTTTTGTCTATTTTGTTAAGCACAACCTTTCTTAACCATATAATCTTTGCATGACTGTAATAAATATTTGGTGTTGATGATGGCAATGATGAAATGTAATTGGGAAAAACAAAACTGAAGAGGAAGTTGGAATCTTACGAAGATAATTTGTGCTATAATACTAATATTACACATTTATATAGCATATTACAGTTTTATTTTATTTTTTAAGTTTATTTATTTATTTTTGAGAGAGAGAGAGACTGGGTTAGGGACAGAGAGAGAGAGAGAGAGAGAAAGAATCCTAGGCAGGCTCCGTGCTGACAGCCCCAACATGGGGCTTGATCTCATGAATAGTGAAATCATGACCTGAGCCCAAATCAAGAGTCCCATGCTTAACTGCCTGAGCCACCCAGGTGCCCCAATATTACAGTTTAAACACAGTTATGAATTATCTTATATGACTGCCATAACAGCTTGCTGAGTATGGTAAGGCAGGTATATGATTTCTATTTTATAGATGCATAAACAGAAATTCTGAGACTAGTTATTTTCCATAGATCACCCAGCTAGGGGCAAAAAAGCAAGGAAGTGTTAAACAAAAGGCACTTAAACTGAAAACAGAAAGATGAGAAGATAAAACTTGAAACTTGATGGCAGTCCTTAAAAATAAAGACAGGAAATGTTAAAATGGGTGTTAAAAACAAAGGACATCCGGCAAAGAGAATAGAAGGTAGAAACTGAAAAGGGGGAACAATAGTTTAGCACTCATTTGCCCATGAGATTATTCTGGATAAATTCCCTGATTTGACTATTCAACTTTAAGAGAACAGATAAAACAAGAAGTCGGAGTTAGCATATAAAAAGTTAAAATGGTTCAGATCAGTGATGAATTCCAAAGTACTGCACTGATCTGAAATGCCATCATGAATGGTCTCACTTATTTCTTTGAATAAAATTTTAAAGTTCACCCAATATAATTCTAGCTAATATCCTCAGCAGAAATAAACAGTTCATTCATTTACAAATCCACTAATTACTTTTTGGTTTCTACTCTTTGATTTAAATTTTTAAGCAAGAAGGGTTAGTAAACAAATGCCTTTTTTACTTAAGTTTTAAAATGTCACAGATTTTACATTTCAAAGAGAAGATTAAGTCAGCATTTTATGTGCTAACATCTTTAATCAAAATACCACATTAGCTTTGGGGATAGATGTGTAAGGAGAACCACAATTTACGACCTTGATAGTTGTATTCCCTGCTGTTGACATCATCCACTGTTTTTTCCTTAACCATAGTATACACATACTCATGTTCACATTCAAATAATATATGCAGATTCATACCTATGATGTGATCAACTATTCGTTGCCTTTCCTAAGTTTTGGAATGTTCAAAGGTTGATAAGGGGCTAACAGCATTTGACTGTGAGCCATTAGAAATTAGTCATTAGAAATAAGTTATAGAGATGACAATTACTTTGAGTGTGAAGGGGATACTGAACATCTAACCCAGTTCAGCAATCTCAAAAGAAGTGATGTGTATGTCAGCTTAGCTGGAAATGATGCTGTTATGTATTTGGTGTGTGTGTGAGTGTGTGTGTGTGTGTGTGCGTGCGTGTGCACGCACACATGTGCACGCATGTTTGAGAATAAGCCCCAGAAAATGATAACTGAGAGGGGTCTAGGATCAAATAATGAGGCACACCTATACATGCTCAGATTCATCAAACGGACCTTATATATTCTAACTTTCCAAGGAATCCTTTAAAGTCTCAAATATAGCCTTTCAGTTTGCTGCAATTACTCAACCATGGCAAGATTAATTTTGAATTTTGTTCCTCCAGGAAGGAAACCATTTTTATTCTGTGCTGATCACAGGTCATTAATATAGCTGATGAATGTCTGTGCCCTATTCAAGTGCGATGAGCTCCATTTAAGGAAAACTCAGATCGATACGACTTAACTTTAATGTTCGAAAAATAGTATTTTTTAACAATTGACATATCTTGTTAACAGTCACAAGGTTTAGCTTTCTCCAAATCCATTTGAGAATAATGCATTGTATGAGAAAGAATGAAATCATGCCATTCACAGCAACGTAAATGGAACCAGAAGGTATTATGCTGAGTGAAATAAATCAGTCAGAGAAGGACAGGTATCATATGTTTCCACTCATATGTGGATCTTGAGAAACTTAACAGAAGACCATGGGGGAGGGGAAAGGGAAAAATAATTACAAAGGGAGGGAGGCAAACCATAAAAGACTCTTAAATACAGAGAACAAACTGAGGGTGGATGAGGGGTGGGGGAGAAGGGAATATGGGAGGGCACTTGCTAGGATGAGCACTGGGGATTGTATGTAAGCCAATCTGACAATAAATTATATTACAAAAAAAAAGAATACAACATACAAAAAAAAAAAAGAGAGAGAATAATGCATTGTAAATGTTCTTCATTGTAAAAAGCAGAGACCAAAGAGGAAATCATCACAAAGTTAGTAAAAAATAGTGTAATGAAAATTTAAAAATAGGCTCTAAGAAGCACTAATATAGCTAGTATTAATTATATTTCAAGATTTTTTTGGTAAAATGCTAAGAAGATATTGCACTGTAAAACATTCATCCTGAAAATGCTTACCCTTTGATATTTTACTATAAGGACTCTTATGGTAATCTCATTCTTTGACTTGCTCTGAGAGAAAGCCATTGCTCATAATTCCTAACAATGGTTGGTTGGTTGAAGCTAAATCCTACCAGCTCTTTTCAGTGCTGGGAATGCCTTACCTAGTGCAACTCTGGCTGCAGATGCATCATAGTTGATCCAAAAAGACACCCAGGACAGAATTGTAATCAATGTGGAAGGCATGTAGGTTTGCAAAATGAAGTAGCCAATATTTCTCTTTAGACGAAAACTTAGTGACAGTCGTGGATATGCCCCTGAATTAAAAAAGGAAAACAGAAACAAAAAAATCAGATCTCCATTTGGTAGGAATCGTCTTCTTTCTTTCACAGTGCCTCGAGTTCATTTGGAGGGAAATAACCTCACCAGTTGTGAACTCCACTTTCTTGGAGACCATCTTGTAGTCGACAATTGAAAACTGAGGAAGCTCAATTTTATTAACTCCAGTTACTGCTCCCTCTCCTCCATTCCAGTAAAACTCAATGTCATCAGTGGTATAGCCATCTGAAACCAAGAAATACAGCATGGTTAAATAGAGTTAGGTTGGTCTAGAAATTCATTTTGAAGAGTCTTGGAACTGGAGAGAAAATTCCCAGCAAGTGGTGGTAAGACAACAATGCTTTAAATAGGATGGCATATAGGTCTCATGATGAGCACTATTCTTGCATTGAGAAGACGGATGCATCTGCTTTAGTGGACATAAACTCTGTGCTCATTCAGTGATGTCTGATATCACTGCTCCTTATTTATTTTCTTTGCGTCTGCTAATGGGAATTCTTTGGTTAGATAAGGGGATAGCTGATTCTAGTACCTGAACATAGATTTTTACTATGCATCCTTTAACAATAATACATAATAATAATTGAGCACATATTTGTTAAAAAGGATATGGAAAAGGTAAAATGGTGGAGTATAATGAAAAACCAAATTTGTACATACTGATTATATGATCAAGACATTTAAAAAGAAATACACATTTATTTTAGAAAATAGGTAAACTTCTATTCATATATACATATATATTTATAATTCATTTATTTTGGGGAAAGCCCAAGTGGGGCAGGGGCAGAGAGAGAGAGACAGAAGATCTGAAGGGGGCTCTGTGCTGACAGGCTGACATCAGTGAGCCCTATGTGGGGCTTGAACCCATGAACCGTGAGATCATGACCTGAGCTGAAGTCGGATGCTCAACTGACTGAGCCACCCAGGTCCCCCTCATATATTTTTATTATATCTAATATACAGGTGAAAAATTAAGGACTATATGAATTTTTAAATTAAAATTTTAAATTGAAGTGTAATCACATATAACATTATATTAGTTTCAGGTATACAGCATAGTGATCAATAATTCTATACATTATGCTTGCTCCCTGTGATAAGTGTAAAGAACTTTATGAATTTTTGTTTAACGTTTATTTATTTTTGAGAGACAGAGAGAGAAAGAGAGACAGACCATGAGTGGGGGAGGGGCAGAGAGAGAGGGAGACACAGAATCAAAAGCAGGCTCCAGGCTCCAGGCTCTGAGCTGTCAACACAGAGTCCAATGTGGGCTTAAACCCACAGACAGCGAGATCATGAGCTGAGCTGAAGTCAGATGCTTAACCAACGGAGCCACCCAGGTTCCCCCTATGAATTCTTGATAATACATTTATAGCTTAATATTTATGAGGGTGAGCTTTTGTTAATTTAAGAGTAATGTATAGAAGATTGTAGATTGCATTATTAGGGTCTACCCTGAAGTCTATTGTCTTCTCTTTTCTACTTCTGTTTCCCCTTATCAGTGGTCTAGCTGGGTTATGGTCGCATAAGAAATTAACTTCTATAAAAACAATGTATGGGTATATTTAAAAATCTAAAAATCAGTTCGGGCATATAGAAGGCTATAGTTGTTGTCTCTTTCTACCTGGTAGACATAAAGAAGATATTTCTGAGTTCATTTTCTCTTTATATTCATCTCAGATAAAAAAAAAACCATCAAATCCTTTATTTCCATTAGAATTACTAAGGCTTGTGTTTCGAAGATAGCCATATAATATAGTAGATATGACGCTGACCTACTTTTGATTAAAACCACTAATATTTTCCAAGAGATGAAAAAAAAGAATATATTTAAAATTTAGAAGAGTGCCAAGTCTTCAGTGAGGCTCACTGAAAACATACCAGTGCAAGGATGTAGGAAATTTTAATCTATTCTTTTTTCTTTTTTTTTTTTGAGGGGAAATAAACCTGTCTCAATTTTATTGCTTTACACATTTCTAACTTATCTTCACAAAGAGCTCTTTTTTGAATTCTTATTCTTAAACTCATTGAACCCACAACCTTTTTATATTTGTTACTTTTGTCCCTCTATAGACGTTATTATTTACTGTGTGATAGGTTTCAATTTAGCTTATTTTATTTCTCTTTAAACCATTTCCTTCTAGGTCTAAGAACTTGCCTTTTCTTCAAAGGGTAATCTTCCATATTCAGTAACCCATTTTACAATGACTCAAGTGTAGCCATAGAAACAGAAGATATTTATTTTAGCTATGATCCCTGGTGTCCAAGAAGCTGTGAGACCCTCTTTACCTATTGGATTTAGAGTGATCTACATCTTCTTGGCTTATTGACTTACTGGCCTATTGGGGATTTATGATGTGTCCATGTAGGTTCAGCAGTTGTAACAAACGTACTACTCCGATGGGGGATGTTGATAACGGAGGAGTCCATGTATGTGGAAGCCTGTGGCATATTGGAAATCTCTGTATCTTCCTCTCAGTTTTGCTATGAACATAAAACTGCTCTAAAAAAGTAAAATTCTTTAAAAAATAACTTCTAGGGGCACCTGGGTGGCTCAGTTGGTTGAGCGTCCAACCTGACTTCAGCTCAGGTCATGAACTCGTAGTCAGTGAGTGCCAGCTCTGTATTGAGCTCTGTGCTGACAGATCGCAACCTGGAGCCTGCTTCGGATTTTGTGTCTCCCTCTCTCTCTGCCCCTCCTCCACTCACACTCTGTCTCTTTCTCTCAAAAACAAATAAACATTAAAAAAAGTTAAAAATAAAAAAATAACTTCTAAAAAAACTCCACAGAAACATATTCATGCATATACATATATAGATAAATGAATGAATGAATGAATGAATGAATGAATAAATAAATAAATAAATAAATAAAATTTGATGGTAATTTCAGAGGATCATGGATCCCCGTGGAGCCTATTTATGGTTCTAGAATGAGAAAATGGCTAGTGGCACTATGATAGCTTAAATTCAACCCTGATGTTCTCCCCTCCATTTTCAGTTCAGCTATGAACTATTTCAAAGACCAGCATGAAGTACCATCCGGGGAATGTGAGGTCTCAGCTCTGTCTGGATCTAGGGGACAATTGTGTCACGGGTTTTTTTCCCCCACTCTGGGGACTAGTGGCCTGGAGTTCTTGAATGGGGATTGGGACAGTGAGATTGATGAAGAAAGCTGAATGCAGGGGCTCTTTGGACCCGCTAAATAAAAGGCACGAACACTTGGGTAACTGGGGGAATTGTTTTGAGCGGTGGGAGAGTTGAAAAGGTAGGCTGCCTCAGAGACAGAGACTACCTCCTGATCTACCAGCAAGAGAATGACATTTTCCCAGGAGCTCATTGTACTTTTCACCGAAAACATTGTTTCCATTTTCAGTGCTCTGGCAGCTGGGTCCAAACCACAAGGTATATGTAAGAAAAAACAACAATGCTTCTAAGAGAATCCAATAGTCCCAGAGAAGAAAAGCAAGCAGAACATCCAGAGTATATGGCCCCTTGTGAAAATAACTGGTGGAGGAGGAAGACAATAGTTTGAACTCTTCAATTCCCATCCTTATTAAAAATATAGGAAAACCTAAAATATATATATATATATATATATATATATATATATATATATAAATATAGGAACACAAGTATATTTGATTAGAGCACAGAAATCTTCCTTCTACTAAAACCCATAGATTTTAATAAAAGATGTTTTAAATAAATTGAGGAGATGGTCACTGGTGAGGCCAGATTAACATTTTAAAAGACAGCTTGAAAGAAATATCTCAAAAGAAAACAAAATTACAGAGATTTGGAAAGTATGAAGAAAACATAATGGTTTTGAATGACTCATCTAAAAGATCTAATATATAAATAAATAGTAGGCAGTCTTGAAAGAAGATGAAGCATAATAAATAAAAAGAAAACACAAGTTCTCTTGAGCTTAATAAATATTTTGCAAATTGAAAGGCTCATTATATTAGGTAATTGTGATAGCATTCCTGAACTCCAAGAGTAAAAGGATAATCTTAGGATTTCCCAGACAGAAAGTACAAGGTATTTTCAAAGGAAAACATATTGGACTTCTTGTATGGAAAGGAAAAGCTTATGGAATAATATCCACAGAATACCTAGAGTATAGGCAAAAAGGACAGCAAATCTGAGACCCAAGGGTCCCATTCCCTGCCAAAATATTGCTTCTTTCCAGAGATGATATACAAAGCTACAAAGATTAGAGAACATATCACCCAGGGACCTATTTGAGGAAACTATTCTACAGAGAAGTCTAATCAAATAAATGAATCAGGACGGATAATTAACACATAAAAAGGGAAATCACCTTGGAAACAGGGGGCTTGTAAAGAATCATAAGACTAGGTTGTTCAAATCTATGCAAACAAATTAGAAAATCTGAATGAAATGGATAATTTTTTCATAAGAAAAGCATTTGTCCAAATCAGGAGAGATAGGATATCAAACAGCTTGATTTCATTTCCTATAAACAAACACCCACGGGACTCAAATATTTAAGAACTTATAAGTCTATTACTAGTTAAACAGTTCCAAAGTAAAGGCTAAGATTGAACACTTCCAAATTATTTTCATTAAGTAAGTAGAACATATTAGTGAACAAAATCCAGCAGTACACTAAATAATAAGGAGTAACTAGTGGAGTTTATTCAGAGTGTGAATTGTTCAATATTAGAAAAAATCTAGTAATATAATCTAATATATTAATAGATTTAAAGAGAAGGAAAGCATATGATTATTTACAGAGGTGCCAAAGGGGCATTTGACAAAATGTAATAGCCATTTAGTCTTTTGACAAAACAATACCCAATAAATATGAATAGATACTTCCTTACATAGCAAGATATAGCTGAGTCTCAAAGCCAGCATCATATTTATTGTGGAAACACTAAAACATTCCTGCAGAGTTAACCGGGTAAACGTGTTCACTACCATTGGTCTTATTTAACAGTGGTCTGGAAATACTAACCAATGAATTAGGCAAGGGAAAGAAAATTGAAGTATAAAGTTGTAAAGCTGCTGGTTAAGATAATTTACAAATCATGCAATTGTATACTCAGTGAACCCTAAGCGGTGAACTTAATAACAATTAGAAATAATAGGATTAGACATGATAATGGGGTACAAAATTACTGTATAGAAATGGGTAGTTTCAGATGTAAAGACAACAATTTATAATGTGTAATGGAAGAATATTTAAAAAT